TGCCCCGCACCAGGCCGCCCTTCAGCGCCAGGCCCAGGAGCGCAGCTGCGCCCCGGCTTCCGCCGCCCTCGGATCCCTCCACCTCCACTGCGACGCTGAGCATGCCAGGCATGCCCTCCGGGGCGGGCCCCGCAGCCCAGGCCAGCCCCGGCAGCTTGCCGTGCAGGCCCGCCAGCAGCAGCTCGCCCGCACGGCGCACCCCCGCCTCGCCGCCGGGGAAGGCGGGGAAGGCGCCCGCCGGCGCCACGCCCCCGGGCGCCAGCACGACCGCGGCCTCGCCGGGGGCCGGGACGCCCGACGCGGCCCCTTCATCCCCCGCGCTGTCCACCAGCACGTCCAGGCAGCCGTCGCGCAGGAAGAGGGTCAGCGCGCCCAGCAGGGGCAGGCCCTGCTCAACCAGGCCCCGGCATACCGCCGGCGGTACCCCTCCGCCGGCGTCCACATCCTCGCCCTCGTTGTCAACCCTTGTGCCCGCGCCCCGCACGTCCAGGTAGGCGGCCTGCCACTCCTCGAACAGCGCGTCCAGCTCAAAGTAGGCCGACCACATGGCCAGCTCGTTGAGCTGGCGCTGGGCGATGTTCGACGTGCTTTCTTCCAACACCTCCGTGTCCATGGTCTCGTCCTCTGCCTCGCGCGCCGCCTCATCCCGCAGGCCCTCCACCCAGTCCTCCAGCGGGGCGCCGAGCGCGGCGGGGAGCACGGCGCCAAACAGCGCCGCGCCCGCACGCGCCCCCGCGCCGCCGCCCAGGGCCAGCTCGCGCGCCACGGCCAGTGCCTGGGCGACCAGGTCGTGGCGCAGCGCTCTGTCAAAGGCCAGCCATCGCAGCGCGTCGGCGCGCGCGCCCGGGCCCCCTGCCGTCGAGCGGCGCGCGCGCGCGACCAGCGCGAGCGCAGCCGCCGCGGCCTCCCCCGCCGCGACATCGCCGCGCCCCTGCCAGCGGGAGAAGGCGGCGTCTGCGGCCAGGTATGCGGAGCGGCAGGCCGCCACCGCCTCGGCCCCTGGCCGCGTCAGCCCGTCCCAGAACACCGCCAGGGTCAGGCGGCGCAGGCCCGCACGCAGGTGGCAGGCGTAGGCGGGGACCAGCGTGCCGTGCCCGGCGTCGATCAGGTAGGCGACGTAGAACTGCAGCAGGCGGTGCAGGACGTCGTGCGTCTGCGCAAACGCCGCCCTGCGGAGTGGAAGGAGACGGTGAGTCGCCTTGGTGGGCAGTGCAGGGACAGGGAAGGGTGTGTGTGCGTGAGGGTGGCATGGCGCCGCCCCTCGCAGCACCCGGAGACCTTGACGTCCCAGTCCTGGTCCCTGGACGACAACCACGCATTACCCCCTCTCCTCCCCCTTCCCACTCAGCCCACCCCGAGTCTGCGGCGTCCAGCCCCACCACGCCCAGCGCCCAGAGCGCCAGGGCAAGGTGCGCGGCAAAGCGCAGCAGGCCAGGGTCGGCGGGCGCGCCGGCGCGTGCCTCGCCCGCAGCTAGCACCCAGCCGCGCAGCTGGTGCACCACCAGCGGGCCCACCCGATCGAGGATAAGGGCCAGCTGCACCTCCCGGAACCGCGCCGCGGCGGCGGCCGGCGGGGGGGGACCGGGGC